CCCGAGGCACCACTTCTCCGTCCAACGCGAGGCCGAGTCCCACGTACAGCAACTAGAAGGATGTGAACCTATGACATACAACTCTCTACTGGGGCTTTGGGGGGAAAAAACTGAATAAATAAAATCTTAAAATAACAGTTTATAGCAATAAAATATTAAAAGAATGTCAACAAACTCCCAATAGTTCCAAACAAAAACAATTAGAAAGTCCAAATAATATAAAACCAGTTTATATCAGGTAATTATTTTTAAACCACTGGAAGACATGCTCTGCTGTCACTACTGATTCTTCCACAATCACAATGATTGTGACAACTAATGTTTATAAAAATAATTCCAAAGAATTTTAAAATTCAAAAAGTTTAAATGCTACTAAGAAGAGCTTGTGTTAAAAGATTGGAATATTTCAGTAGCATTTAAGTTTTGTAAAAGGTGTATCTCTTTTAAAAAATGTTTTCAACGTAAAAACCCCAATACACAAATCACGTAAAAGTGAAGTTTTTGGAACAGGGCCACCAGGCCTGGAGTCCCGTCATTTGCCTCCTTCTCTTTCTCTGCAGTGGTCTCAGTATCACCTCTGAGAACAGCTTGAAAAACACTTCACTATATCCCAGGTTCTTCGAGAACTGCCAGTTCATCTAAGGTCTCCTGGGTAGTAACTCTCAGTTCGTTGGCGTAGTATTCTGGGTAATGCGAAAGGACTCAATCCTCTACTGTCCTAAACAAATGAATGCTTAGTGGAGTTGTTTTCTAACTTTTCCTGGCAAAACTTTGCCGGTGCTCTGTTGGTTTAACCGTGAAGAGGATCTCTGGCTTCAAGTACAGAGGCCTTGGAAGCATCTGGGACTACGGTGATGTAAATGATGATGTAAAACCCCCAGTCCGGGCTCCCCTAGTGAACGCTATTAAAGGCAGGCATCAGAGCTGCCTCCTCCTCGTGGCCTTGGAGGAATCCCCATGGTGATCTTGTCTGACCCACTTTCAGGATATTTTCAGTCTTGTTCCCTCAAAGTGTCATTTCTGGTCACAGCTATTTGAATAACTTGGAAAAAGTAACTTTCGCTAGACTAGAGCTGTAATGGACTAGAATATGAAAAACTACTAACAGGTGCATTATTTCTCTAACTTGATGGTGCAGTAAGAACCTCCCTCTCCTTCCTTGCGGTCCAATACCTCACAGTGTTTGAAGTGCTTTGCCAGCCTCACTTTCTACAGTAAACAATAGGTGTTGGCATTTTACACTGACCTTTAATTCTCCTGAACCAGCACATTGTTTCTGGCTTGTTGGTTGTATAGAGAAAATAAAAAACAGAAGCAGTCAATAATTTTCACATCTCTCACTGAAAGCAGTACATGGAAGAAAATTTTTAAAACGATCACCCATGTACTACCTTACTCCATAAAATTTCCTTCTAATCAAGACAGATAGGGAATTATGAGGTTCAGATGCACTGCAAAGCTTCAAAAAGGAATAAAAAGCACTTGTATTTTCGTGTACTTTAAACTTAAATGAAGCAAGTCAAATATATCTATATCCTTCTGCACATCTTACATCACTTACAACTACAGTAAAATACTGAGTCAAAATTAAAAAAAAAAATGATTCCAGAGCCCAACATACCTTACGATAATGTCATTTTTCTCCATAAAATAGGTAAGCAATGATTTTATTCAGCAATAGTCAACAGGTGTGGAAACTGCATTGCTGTATAAATTAAGGATTGACTATTTTAACAAATGAAACTGATTATGGGCAGAATACCTTATAATGAGCCAAAATTGACGTAAGAATAAGAAACTACAGCAATTTCTCTCAACATACCATCAACTTGTAGGTCTTTTGAATTTCCTATGCATGGCGATGATTTTTTTCTGTGCCATTCACTCCCTCAACCAGATCCTAAAGACACACGTTAAGAAGGTAACTGGTCGGGCTGGCGCCATGGCTTAGCAGTTACGTGCGCGCGCTCCGCTGCTGGCGGCCCAGGTTCGGATCCCAGGCACACACCCACGCACGGCTTCTCTGGCCATGCTGAGGCCGCGTCCCACATACAGCAACTAGAAGGATGTGCAACTAGAAGGATGTGCAGCTATGACGTACAACTATCTACTGGGGCTTTGGGGGGAAAAATAAATAAATAAATTAAATTAAAAAAAAAGGTAACTGGTCAAGATCAGAGACAGTTTGTAGTAGGAAGTGGGTACAGGACTGGTCTGCACATGCGTGAAACCTGCGACCCTGGCCTCATTAGAATTACGCCCCAATCAAGTGAGCTAATTGGCCTATTTTTGCAAATGTGTGAATATAAACCACATTTCATTTTGCCTTAATTAAAATATCTGACCCAAGTAAACTGGTAATACATAGTTATATGGCACTGACATTCATGAAAATAAAAGCCAAGCTAATTTCCTACATATTTATAAGTTCTTAGAAAACACAGATAGGTTTTATCTACTGTAATTTACAACATCATCTTCATTGAGTTCTTTAAGAACTAGAGAGAAAATTCTAAAGACTTTTTGGCAGCTCATAGTTTCCAGTGAAGAGATAGTTCACATAGAATGTTGATTAACCACGAATAGACCCTGCTCTCAAAGCTTTCTATTTTCCTTTCCATTAATCAAGCACACAACTGCCTTTCTGAGCTTTGGTTTCCTTATGTGTGAAATGGGGACAATGTCTACTTCACCGGATTGTAAGGAGTCATTGATAAAATTAGTTCAAGACTCTCAGTGCTGAGCATATAATAAATGTTTTCTTATAAAACTTGCAGTTCAACTTAAAGGTGTGTAAAAATTATTACTGCAAAATCAGACAACTTCTCCCATTCTCCACAGGGAAGGGGCTGCCAATATCAGTGCACGGTGAGATGTGGGAAAAGTGTGTACAGGATCTCATAAGGAAGTGTACAGGGCCTCGTAACAACCACCATTTGTTGAGCGCTTATACATGTGCCAGGCACTGTACTGAGCACTTACACACAGCCTGTTAATCCTTAAAACCACCATCTCCATTTAACAGATTTGCAAACTCAGGCAATTTGTTTAATATTGCACCATCTCTGCGGCAGCTCTGGGAACTCTCAAAATTAGTGTGATCAGATCAATACATAGGCAAAGCACCTGCAGGAATAGCCATGGAAGTTCCCTGAAAGGGAAGGCTGAGATTATCTTGGGTTGGCCGCAGACTTTCAGTGAAAGCTTCTCTGCAGAAGCTCCTGCTTGTGGATTAGCAGTGTCAGCAGCAGGTATGCAAGTGTAGAAATCTGTCGTATGAAAGGAGTGGCTGTGTGTGTTAGAGGGCATTCCTAGAATAGTCTCTCTTTTCAGCCCTCGAAGATTGAGGCTTCTAGTGAAAAAGCATCTTACTTCTCTCAAAACTTATTCTGGTTACTGAGCAGGCCCAACAGCCACGGATAAGGGGCACTAAAGATAAATGGTAGTAAGCAAAGTAAAAAAACAGTCGAATACAAAAGGAGTCACTAGCTGTTGCTGTAACCCTGGAATAGCCTTGGTTATGTTACAGGAAAGTGAAGTAAATTACACCAAGAAAAAAGGGGTTCTCTTTGATATTAGGAGAGAGCAACTCAAATTTTTAAAAACCTATGTAAATGGGAAAAATAAGTTTATTAGCTACTAAAATAAGCTCTTTACAGTAGGCCCACCATCCTCTTCAGCCCTCCAATTCACCTGAAAAAGAAGGTCCTTCCCTGGAACAACCTGTAGGCCCCAGCACACTCCCACATTCCCAACTCGGCTTCAGCCAAAACCACTCACCTTGGCAACTGTTGTGTTTGCTTACACACCTTAATGAAGATTTCCTTCGAACAAGGGGCTAAAGAGTGTGAAAATCAGTGCAGTAGGTTATCCCGAACCTGAACTACATAGGATTAAACAAAACGTATGTAGCTATACCCGGCCCAGACCATTCCTTTAGTAAATACATCACTGACGTAATTTAGGCTTTTTGGAACATTGGCCATGGTTAGATTTACACTACAGCGCTAGCATGTAGAGTGGTTTTGGAAGCTCGATCCAGATGCCAGTTTTTTCTTTAATTAATTAATTTATTCCCCCAAAGCCCCAGTAGATAGTTGTATGTCATAGCTGCACATCCTTCTAGTTGCTGTATGTGGGATGCGGCCTCAGCATGGCCTGAGAAGCGGTGCGTCGGTGCGCGCCCGGGATCCGAACCCGGGCCGCCAGCAGTGGAATGCATGCACCTAACCGCCAAGCCACAGGGCCAGCCCATAGATGCCAGTTTCTATAGCTACCACCTTCTTCCCAACTACCAATCTTCATCCAGAAATAATCACTGCCCTGGCCAGAGGCGAGTGAATGTCAAAACTGAGGAATTCAGATGCTGAATTTTAAACTGTCAGTTCTAAAAATGTCGACTCAATGAAATATGTTACTAAAAAAGAGCCAAGAGTCAACTAGAGGATAGCCCCAGCTAAAGCTTAATAAGAGGAAATGGCTGGAAACCCTGAAATGTACATAAAAACACAAAATAAGTTTCCTGTCTTTGGTTACTTATCTCAATACATGAAATGCACAATTCAGTAAATGGGTAGCACTTCACTAATTCTATCCATGCCTGCTGTGTTTCTTTTGTACTTTTACTAATAAGCTTCTAAAACTGATAATTCTTCATTAAAATAAGAAAAAAACAGAAACCATAAATTTATAAGCTAAAGGAGCCAGTTTGCTACCATGAAGTGTTTATCGTATGTATTTAACTCGATGACTTCTTTTGGGACCACAATATATACCCAATTTAACACAGGAATTTAGTTTACAGACCAACAGAGGTGAAAAATTCCTGAATCATCTATTCTTTCCATGAGAAAAATCTTTCTTCCTATTTAATCATACAAACTATAATTTCTAACTAGTGTTTATTTCTAAATAAACAAAAATCAAAAAGCCAAACAAAAAACAAAATCTCACCCACATGAAAATCATGACCAACACAGACTTCAATACTTGTCAATTATTGGGGAAAAGTAGTAAAATTTATTGTAGTAAAGGAAAGGTTATCCTTTATGAGCCCCAAATTTAGAGAATTATGTAGCATTCCCATAATAACTAAAAATAAATACAAATAAGGGAAGAAAATACATTTATTATTAAAAATTTGAGTCTAATTCTAATTACTTGAGAGTTTATTGGCCGAAACTCTCTAATAAACATGATAACTGAAAATGTGGCTTGGGGCTATAACAAGAAGCTTTTTACCAAAGTTAAATTTCAACTGATTCTACAATCACATTTAGTCTGGCAGCTTAGGCTAAGAACTTGAGAGCTCTCATTGTATAGTTTGTGATTTTACTATGAAATATCACTTAATTCAAATATATTAGCAATATTTGGCTTGTATAGTATGACATTCTAAAAACCCACAAAATGTTACTTTTGGGCAACAATTTTTAAGAAAGTAAAAATCTTTAAAAATTCTAAAGCCATAGAAAATCAGGCTGGATGTATTTTGACTGTGGAGAAAAAATTAATGGAATTTTAAACTATCAAATCTACATTCTTCTCTATGAACACAGTATGTGTCTATTTCCTTAAAACTATTTTGGAGCCAGTCAACACCCAAAAATAAAAATATTATTATTCCTATCTTGGTTAATAATTTAACGAATCAATAATGTTATCTCAGCTAACAACACAGGTAACCTGCACTATGTCAGGTATATAAAACTGATACAGAAATCATCTGAAAGCTTTGAAATATTAGAACTGAAGGCTTTCTGCCTTTGTAAATAAATGGCTTTTGGGAGGGAGGAACTAAGGTACTTAAAGACACCGTTAACATCTTAAAATCTACAACCAAAGGGAAAAACTACTAATACTAGTTTTTAAAACTTACAAGTTATAATAATGTAAAACAAATTTGTCATTTTAGCTGCTTTTCAATATGTTTATACATGCAATATAAATTACAAATATGTATAACATTACAATACCAACTAAAAGAACACAATGATGTACAAAATCTTTATGATAAATAAAATATTGCATTTAATGTCATTTTCTTGAAAACAAAAATCATCAAATTCCTTAATACTGTATCAAACATAAACAATACCAGTTCAAATTAGAGGAAATGTGCGCCAACACTAGCTTCTGACAATAAAAATAAAGTAAAAGCCCTGCAGTTTGTCTGATTTAGGTCAGATAATCATGGAAACAAAAGACTATTTAAAATTATTTATTTTATCATTATGCACATTGAAGGAAAGCATTATAGACAGCAGAGTTCTGTCCCACCATAAAATTATTTACATCCATTTATTCAGCTAGAAACACTAGCTTGAAGAGGTACTGTTATATTCCATTTGTAATCATTTCCCTATAGCAAACAATTGTCTTACACTTGGAGCATATTGAAGACAACATTCTCATAAATCTTTTTTGTTCTTTTGAGTCTCGATCACTAAGAATTCAAGGTACTTTGGGAGAATCCTGGTGTCTGGGATGGTCTGATGAATGCAGTAAAATCAAGCAGTGTGTTTGTATTTGGAAAATACTCTTAAATCCATACACATGTTGCTGGGTCGTGGAGCTCAGATTTCTCCTCCTGGCACAATGACACTTGAAGAACATTTGTTATGAAAGTTTCACGCCAATTTTGTTTTGTTCCTTCTTCATTAGCCGCTGTGCTTCCTTTTCCATTTTCTTCCTTTGTTGCTCTGCTGCTCTCTTTTCTCTGTCTGCTATCTTCTGCTGCCTGAAAAGAAGTAGATTCATATTTTTACTTTTAGAACATACCACCCAGGTAAAATGGCAAATGAATTCAAAGTTTAAAATTCTTCATTCTGGGGCCGGCCCCGTGGTGTAGTGGTTAAGTTCTCACGCTCTGCTGCTGGCGGCCCGCGTTCGGATCCCGGGCACGCACCGAGGCACTGCTTGTCAAGCCATGCTATGGTGGCATCCCACATAAAGCGGAGGCAGATGGGCACAGATAGATGGGCACAGATGTTAGCCCAGGGCCAGTCTTCCTCAGCAAAAAGAGGAGGATTGGCATGCATGTTAGCTCAGGGCTGATCTTCCTCACACACACACACAAATAAATAAATAAAAGTCTTCATTCTTCTCATTGCTTTGAAAATTCCAAAGATTTTCAAAAATAGTATTTCTTTTAATCCCTAGAAGATGGCTTGCAAAATAGAAGGATTATCTCTATTTTACAAATAAAGAGGCTAAGGCTAAAAGGCACAAAGGCTAAGTAAGTGACTTGCCCAAATTCATAAGATTAAGTAAAAGGATAAGAACCCTCATCTCCTGACCCCTCTTCTTCAGATTATTTTCACTAAAACACTACTTCCAATGGACAGCACCTTCTTTTTGACACCATTCAGACAACCTGACATTGAGGATTAAATCTGTTATTATAATAGTTAAAAACAGTCAGTTAAAGGATGTCAAGAACACAGACGTGCAGAACACAATGCAAAAAGAAAATGGAAACACCTTCCAACTAAAAGCTGGAAATCTATTTAAGGATTAACATTTGATCAGCTCTTCTAAAGAGGGGACAGAATGGTAGGTATTTACTAATTACACAGTATGGAGTACTCATCTCCTCCCTAGTCCCCCAATAACTCCACTGACCAAAAAAATCACTAAACCTCTCTGATGTTTATTGATTGATTTGTGTGGGGAGTAGCAACAGGAGTGGGGTGATGAAATAGGAGAAAGGGGAGGGAACACAAGTTGGTCCTGGATCTAAAGGCTTAGGGTATGAGAAAATAAATCAAGAAGCATGCAAGGTTGAGGAAGGCAACTGTAGGCCACGGCTGGGCAGGGGATAGGTACCACTAGGTTATATACAGAAAACTCCAGTGTGGATTACCAACACGTGGGACAGCTCAAAGATGACTATAGTGGCTGAAATGTATATACAATTCTCAATCATACTTATAAATGGGAGTAAGCAGAGTTATGGATGACCATAATTCAAGAAGGCAGAGAGATTTATTTTAGGCAACATTTTTACCTCCACCATCGATTAGCTGAAGTTTCAAAAGAATAGTTTAAAAAAATCTCCTTTTCACTAGCTCTGCACACTTTCAAGCAAAACTGACAATTTGCACTAAAAAAGTCAAAACACCAGTGGCAAGAAAGGAGACAGGAAACGAATTATAAAGGGCTGGCTAGGTTACAAACAAATAAGATAATCAAGCTTTGACCCGGTTACTTGTTGAAATATAAACATCAACAATTATAGTTCCTGGCACAGGAGGCAACGTAGAGATTACCACAGACAAAATATACTTTCCCTGTCCAACCAGATACATGCTTGGAATTACTAAAGTACCAGAACTTCTTCCTTAACGATACTGATCATAGCACTGGTAGTATTTTAAAAGTGGCAACAGGAAATAGGCTGAGTTAAAGGATACAGACTGTGGATACAATTTGAAAATTCTCAGTGTTCTTCTATGGGCAGTAACAAGGTATGGAAGCCTCCATGTCTCTGTGACTCTACTTAGGCAACTTGCAGGACAAAGCATGTCTATTACTGACTAACAGGCTCCCTCTCCCAAGCTGTCATATAATGTAAAACACTAAGTTGGGAGTTTTTTGGTCTTGTTTTATTCAGGGTGCAAGAGGATAAAAGGTGGAAAAGAGAAGGTTTTTGTACAGCGAATGTTAAGATCCTTGTGAACTCATAAACTCCACAGTGGTCATTAAGATTACTGGATTCAAAATGAACAGCCCCTTCCTTTATCGTTGTGGTTAATGACACTAATAATCACTAGAATCCCCAAAATGTTCTAAAATACTCAGACTTCTATAATTTATCAAAAAAAATAGAGTAAAAAAATGAGATGACATCTTTTTTGATGATCCATGCAACATAAAAATGTTGCCATTTACAATTTAAGAAATATTTTCTTTATAGTAAATAATGATCAAACAGAAACTAAATATTTAAAACTCTCCCAACTTCACTGACTTTTAAAAATGTGACCCTTATCTGTTAAGAAACAAATGCTGTGAACAAGGACAAGACCAAAAAGAAAAGTTAGCCATCACGCTCATCTAACTGCACCCTCTGCTGGCTGTTCAAGGTAACTGTGATTTGTTGATAAAAGACAGGGAAGGAAAATAGAAAAATGAAAGATATTGTTTTGTTACGACAGTCAGATAAAGGGTAATTCGTTTTCTAGCCCGATTATAAAAGCAATCTTTTAAAATAAAAACAAACTTATATTGCTGTATTTTACTATATCATCTTTAAAAATACAAAACTAATTTAGATATCTGAGTTTTCATCAGTGATGACAATCACAAACTCTCTTAAAGTAAAGTTTCTGTTTATTCTTTGACCTAATGCAGCAGTAGCAAGAATTAAATTTATTGCTCAGAAAAACAAAGAAATAAGAATATAACAACCAACAAAAACCTCAACAATAATTATTTCTTTTCTGTAGAATGGGCAGTACCTGACATATCATTTACCTCACAGGACTTTCAGTATATCAGTGGAGATATACACACGAATGTTGACTGCTATATATGTTATTCTCATTCAAATGTGCAGTGCTAGGCCCTATGCTAGACCATGGGGAAACAAAAATAAAGGAATAATTTCTGACCTACAGGAATATAGAGTGGTGGCTCACATTTCACAGCAGGACATTTCAAGAGGTAAGTACATTCCATAGGGAATGAAGTATTATATTGCAATACGGTGTATATATGTAAAAGATCTCATTTGCCATTAATAAACTTCTTCTTTTATTATTATTTATTTTATTATTATTATTATTCGATTATTATAGATAATGCTTTAAATTCGTGGTTTCTGTGAGATTTTAATCATATAAAATAGCATATGTAGTCTGAAATACAAAAAGTATCCCATGTTATCTAAGGTTCAAGTGAGAGAGAATAAAGAAAAATATAGCATTTGGCAGAATAAGTTTTCATGACCTTAAATGCAACATGAACAATCTAGTTCTTCCACTCAAGTTGCAACGTAATTACTCAAATACCTCAGAACCTCTTCTGCTTGCCAAGCAGCATCTTCTTCTTCTTCCCATGCATTGGTATTTTCCTGCCAGGTATCTAAGTCACCTAATTCAGGCTACAACAAAAAACAAAACAACACGACAATAAAAAAGAGCTACGCTTTCTCCACTCAGCAGTCAAGAAGAGCATCTTCTAAGACATAACTCAGAATGTGCCATTCCCCTGTGCCTTCTCCCCTTCCTTACCACATCCTATACTAGGCCCACATGATTTGGCCCCTGGTTTGCCTGGAACTGAGGGGTTTCCCAAGAGCCATGACTTTCAGTATTCAATAGTCCTGGGCAAGTCCAGCTTTCTTCCTATTTTATGTTTTAAAGGATACTCCTTTTATATTAACTGTTCTTTTTTTGCCTATTTTAATTTGGAATGAACAAGAATAAAACATTTCTTCTTTCTGTTTCTTTTTCTTCTCAGTAAGAGGAAAGGGCGGGGTGGAGTGGGGTGGGGGAAAGAGAAGAGACAGACTGATCCCAGACTGAATTAGAGGTGCTTGACTGGACTACTGAGAAGATGAACTGGAAGAACCGAAGTTTCCAAACTAGCACAGTCATCTTCATTTAAGCATACGTAATTTGTAGATTTTTCAGTGGCACGTACTGTCTGGGTCTCAGGCACAAATGACAAATCAGGGAAAATTTACTCTTCATCAGAGAACTTCTATGTTGTACCTCCTTTTGCATGTCCTACTTACCTGATACCATCAGACTGCCACTACCTTCCACTATTCCCCAGGCCAGACCTCTAAAAGTTCACTTTTTTCTTCCACAAATCAATGAAAATGCTCACACTGGAATGTTTAGTTAGGTGTAGAAGTGATTATGTGCATAAAATAACTGGCCCCAATCTGTGAACAGACTTATTATATTCACTTTTGAGCACTTCCAAGTAAAAATGAAATAAAATGTGTTGTTTTCTCCTTCTAACCATAAATACAATACCATCCTCTGTTAAAAAAATTTATAAGTATTTCTGGTTACCTGTTTAATACAAATTCCTAAAAGTAGAATAGCTAAATGAATGACAAGAAAGATTTTTAAATTCACTAAAACAAAATACAAATGACCTTCTTGAAAAGTCGTACCAACTTATCTTCCAGACAGCAGTAGGTAGGAGTCTTGTTTCCTTGTACCTTTGTCAATACTGGTAATAGCCTTCTTTTCTATCTTTGCTAATTTGTTAAGATTTAAAAATGGTGTCTTGTTATTCTACTTTGAATTTCTTGGAGAACTAATATGATCAAACTTTTCCTCATGTTATCAAGTTATGTCTATTTCTTATCTGTAAATGTATCCATTTTTCCAATAAGGTGTTTGAATCTTAGTGTATAAAACATTTAAATATAAAAAAAGTGAAACTACTAAGACCATAAAAAAAGAATGATATCTGATCCATTAGTAGACATGGCCTTCTAAACAAAAAGGAAAAACTTGTACAGTATAAGACTGATAGATTTGCTACATAAAAGCCAAATATGTCTGCACATCAAAAACATCCAAAGCAAATTACAAAACTAACAACAAACTGAAAAGTTGTAAAAGATGACAGAAAAAAGTTAATATCCTCAGTATAAAAAAAGCTATCACAACAATACAAATGATAAATTCCAGAAAAAAAAAAAAAAAGAATGTGCAGTTTAAACCTAATTTGTAGAATGGGTGGTAAGATAGTTTTGGTGTAGAGAGCAAAGTGCAGGAGCTTACCATTCTCTTCTAGGCAATGCCCCTTTATTTGGTCTGCTTGGGAGGAAAATATGTGGAAATAGCATGGGAGACATTCTCCATCTACTCTATTTACCCCTTCCCAACTCTGTAAGCAGTTACATATTTACAACTTTATAATGAGCTATATTAGTGTTATAATAACTTATAATTAGTTAGGTGGCAAACATTTACTAATTCACTGTGTAGGTCTGAACCACTTTACCAATATGGATCAAACATATGTGAATAAAGTTTAAAATTTAGAAATATAAAATAAAAAATTAAACATTATGATGCTATGCTATTTTAGAGTAATAGCTATGGTGCTATTTATGCTCTCACAGCATCATGCATAGGACTTATCAGAATTTGTAATATTTATGTGTGTGATCATTTATTTAATATCATACCTCCTCCATTAGAAGGCATTCTTCTGAGGCAAGGATCCTGCCTGTTTTGCTTATTTTTCACTATATTACTAGCACCTAGAAAGCATCTGGCATTAGTAGGAATATTTGTTGATCAATTAATTAAAAACATACATGAACATGAGTTCCCTGGGGAGAGGGGCCTCAGAAGCGCCTGTGCAGTATAAACAAATTGGATAGATGGACAGATAGATGTGGTGGTTTAAAACTATGTCTGTAAATTCTCTGACACTTCATCCTTAGGTGGAGCTTAATTCCTCTTATGTCGGCTGGATTTAGTGACTAGCTTCAAAGAATAAAATAACATGGAGGTGACAGTGTGTCACTTATAAGACTGTCATAAAAAGGCATTTTGTTGTAAGAAGGCTTCACTCCCGTTTGTTCTCTCTCTCTCTCAGGGATCTCTTGTTTTGGTAAAGTCAGCTTCCTTATGTCATGAGGAAACTGAAGCAGCCCTATGAAGAGGTCCATGGCAAGGAACTGAGGCTTCCTGCAACCAACCAGCATTGACTTGCCAGGAATGTGAGTGAGCCACCTTTGAAATGAATCCTCCAATCCCAGCTGAGCCTTCAGATGACTACAGCCCCAGTTAATGACTTGTCTGAAAACTCACTAGAAACCCGAGCCAGAACCACCCAGTTTAGTCACCTCTGGATTCCTGATCCACAGAAACTATATGATATAAAAAATGTTTCTTGGTAAAGTGGAAGCAACCTAAGTGTCCCTCGACTGACGATTGGATTAAGAAAATGTGGTATATATATATACAATGGAATACTACTCAGCCATAAAAAAAGACAAAATCGTCCCATTTGCAACAACATGGATGGGCCTGGAGCGTATTATGTTAAGTGAAATAAGCCAGAAAGAGAAAGACAAACACTGTATGATCTCACTCATATGTGGAATATAAACCAACACATGGACAGAGAAAACTGGACTGCGGTTACCAGGGCAGTGGGGGTGGGGGGTGGGCACAAGGGGTGAAGGGAGTCATATATGTGGTGATGGACAAACAAAAATGTACAACCAAAAATTTCACAATGTTAGAAACCATTAAAACATCAATTAAAAAAAAAAAAAAATGTTTCTTGGTGTTTTATGCCACTAAGTGTGGGGTTGTTATACAACAATAGATAACTAATATAAGCAATGAATCAATAACTACTAAGCAATATTTAATCAACCTAAGTATGCTTAAGCATAGGTCTGGAAAGGGGTCTGGACACTGGTGTTTTTAAAAAAATTCAAAGCTAATTCTGATATGCTTTCAAGGTTGAGAACCACACTTACATCCTTTCCTCAATACTTTTGTCCTTAAAAGGCTGCATTTAAGTCAAACCCATTTTAAGTCGAATGACACTTTAAATGTAGGTATACTCTATTAGGGAGAGACTTCATAACTCACTTAAAAATAACCTGCTATTAAGGTTAAATTTTAGTGGTAATCTCTTTAAAAATCGTATTTTCAAATAACATTTGTCTCTATCTCATAAATCTACAATGGAACTCTGATCTTAGTGTCTTTTATCTTAGTATGAGTAATTTACAATCTCAAAAAAGATAGGATTGGTGAAACTCCAGATTAATCTCTCTCAAACTGCTAAACCTGTTTCAAAGTCACAGAAATACAAATACTATGTTCACTTCATTTTGTTTTTTTTCTTCTTTTTTAAAGAAAATAGAAACAAAAACAAGCCCCTGCTTAGACAGCATTAATATACTTACAGACTGATGAATAAAAGGCATATCTTGTGTAGCTGCTAATCTACTAGAGAAACCTGTGCTACCATCTGGGATGCCAAAATTTAATGGTTCTCTCTTCTTAATAATGATCTGAAAGATTAATTGAAATAGAATTATAGAAATATTTTACACATTACTATATAAAAAAGACAAAATAATTAACTGACCAAAGCATTTTTAATTACTTAAAATATGTTCTACCTTTCTTCTTTTAAAATTTACAAAGTAAAAACTAAAAAACAATGCTCTGTAAAGACTACAAAAATTCCCAGGCAATTATGACACAAACCAGTTACATACTAAGAAAAATTGTATTTCACTTAAAAAAATAAGTAAATAAATTCTCATTTTCCTCCTTCCTCTTCCCTACTTTCCCTAGACCCCCCCAAATATAATTAGGAACTTTTAGTCACTACATTAAATAAGTATATGTATCAAATCCTGCCAAAAGTATAACCAGCTCTCTAAGCATGTGGATATCTATGAATGCATTAATGCTTTCAGGCCAGTAGTAGTAGTTTTGTAGCCTAAAAGCATTTTCATTCTAATTAATCTATTAAGGTTCTATCATAATATACTGGGTTCCTATTGACAACAGCAATATACTTCCACAATACAAGGTATTCATCTATTAAGAAACCTGATTAAAACTCCCTGAAAAATACACAACTTAATACTTTTCAGCATTGAGACATGTGGACAACTCAAGGTTATCAACCTTGAGAATGTAAAAATAAATATACAGCTGAAACTGGCTGGGAGGCAGAAGATGGTGAGGAACCCTAGTAGAGAAGAGTGGAATAAATAATGTCCTCATTTTATAAAGTATATTTATAAGAAATATTTTCTATGCTTGACTGAACAAGAAATGGAATTTTAAGTGTGTTTTTTTGAAATAGCAGAGTGACTGGTGAGGTAGATTGGAATAATAACATTAGAGTATCTGAACAAGGGAGAAGGGGTGTAAGCATGGTATGAAGTCAATGGACCACGTCTGTGATTGGTAAATCAAGCAATAGCAATATAAGCATATCATATACAGATATGGTGAAAAACACTAGGAAAAGCCCAAACAGAAAAAGTCATGAGTGGCTGCATCTGGGAAGTAGAACTGGCTCTGAAGAATGATGGGGCAGCAGTCTACTGCTTTTCATAAACTCTTCTATATTCTTTGATTTAAAAATTTTTGGGCCGGCCCCGTGGCTTAGCGGTTAAGTGCGCGCGCTCCGCTGCTGGCGGCCCGGGTTCGGATCCCGGGCGAGCACCGACACACCGCTTCTCCGGCCATGCTGAGGCCGCGTCCCACATACAGCAACTAGAATGGATGTGCAACTACGACATACAACTATCTACTGGGGCTTTGGGGGAAAAATAAATAAATAAAATCTAAAAAAAAAAATAAAATAAAATAAAAATAAAAATAAAAATTTTTAAAAATGTACATGTACTATTTTGATAAAAAGAAAGGAGAATACTCACTATTGTTCTTTTTCCAATAATTCCCTGCATCTTTAAGTAATCTTCCATATTCAACCCAAAAGGGATTAAATAAAGTATGGATGACTAAGCAAACCCACAACAATTACTCCAAGTTCTCAGAGCCTTGCGTCAGCTTTATAATGGTTACAAACAATGGAAACTAGTTATCAGTAGTTTCTAGGTTTTAAGGTTAGAATTGTATCTTATTCAGCTTAGTCTCCATAGCAGAGACTGGAGTCTAGAATCTGATATATAGTAGGATTTCAATAAATGCTTAGATATAATTTTAAAAGACTTGGGGGTACAACTTTCTAGATCTATGTCTAGGTCACTTGAATATATAAACTTCTTTAACATGACAGAAAACACAACAAATTGATAATTAGAAATATGCTTTCTAACAAATAGTAATTATACTGCCTAATTTTAACTATAGGAATCTGAAAAGCAGTTTAATAGTTTAATCTCCAAAGCACAAATCTTTAACATACTTTCTGAGTTTTCCTTATAGTTGGTGTCATGTCCTTAAAGTAGTCAGGTTCCAGTTGTTCCAAAGCATTTTGTTGTGTTGCCACATTGCCATTCCCTCCTTCAATCTTTACACTTGTGGGTGCATCTTCATCCCAGGAAGTCCACTCTTCAACATCTGTCTAAATTTAATTGATCAATATTGTCAGCAACAATCAGGCAACCTAATTAACATCTCATTCATCATTTATTAGAAAAACAGGCTTTCTGAAACATTGGTTTTCAAACTTTTTTGGCCAACAGGAAAAATATAAATTTTATATCACATACCAAAACTAGATCAAAAGTTTAAAAAAATACCCACTTTTACTATCAATTAGACATTTTGTTCTATCCATTAAAAAACAAAAAGCAAAACAAAACAAAAGCAAATGTTTTGAAAATTGAACTGACATTAGAACTACAGCCCACAGGAGGAGGACTGGGACTTGCAACCTAAGCCTAACCACGTTGACTGCCTGATAAAGTAAAAAATATCAACATTCTTGGTAAGATTTAAATAAGATAGAGTCTCAAGAATAATATTTGAAATGTCCATGAAAAACCTGAAATGATCCAGCAAACAAAAGTCAAGAAATCTCTACTTACATGTAAAAAGTCAATCAACTGACGCCAACCCTGGGATGATATTAATGTTGGAATTATCTAAGACTTTAAAATAGTTATTATAAAAATGTTCCAATAAGCAATAGCAAACACTCTTGAAACCGATGGAAAAAAATCAGAAAATCTTAGCAAAGAAACAGAAAATAAAATGAAGAAGCAAATAAAATTTTTAGAATAAGAAAATATAACAACAGAAATCCTGACTCTCACTACCAAATTAATTTCACGACATACTAATGGTCTGCACTCTAGTTTGAAAAATATGGTTCTGGAACACTTATTCAACCTTTAAAAAAAATTACCTGTTTAGGAACTGATGAATAATCAACTGTAGTTGGCAGAGTTATTTGGTCTCCACTTAATTTCCGTCCTCTGCCAGATCTAAAACAAAAATGAAATAGTTTATTTCAAAAACTACCATAACAGGCATGGGTAGAAGTACAATAGACAGTAACTTAAGGGTTAAAAGAGAAGATATTTTTCAATTTTAAAATTATTTAACAATTAACAGTTGCTCATTAAGATATGAAAAGGCATGCATCAGATATCTTTTAAATGTTTTTAAAATCTTGGACAGGACAATATAACTGCTTTTTGGTTTAGGGCTCAGAATTATAGACAAACTCAGGAGGAATATAAAGCCAAAAACAAAAATGCAAAGTGGTTTCAAACCACGCTCCTTAGGGTACTGAGAGCTCCGTGGGTGAAGCTCAGGGGCACCTATGCTGTTTTAACCAGGGTCGCTTGGCTTTTGTTTGCTTTACATATTTGGTTTCTTGGTAAGATTACCCATTAAACTTTTAAAAAGTTTGAAAATCACTGGGTTGAACTAAACCATAACTCATAAGTTTTAGGATTAGTAGGAAAAGTACTATATTAAACAAGATAGGTATTATAACTCAGTTGTTAAGATCATAGGCTATGGAATCTGTGTAAACCACAGTTTTCAAGTAATTATGAGTCTAGTTAGAATTACCTAACTTCTCAGCCTCAATATTCTCATCTGTAAAATGCAGGTATTGAAACCTACTTTTACAGGGTTGTTGGGAAGATTTATTTAAGTGACATATTTAAGGCAGCTAGATACTAGACAGTGCCTGCTTTATAACAATACATTAAAAAAATGGTAGCTATTATAAATGATTAGTCACTTGCTTCACTTCAAATAATTTATAAAGCATCTACTTAGAGCTAACTGGTAAAGTCAGCTATTTTTACTACAAGATTAGAAATCATACTTTGTTTAAAGTAGGAATAAAAAAGTAATACAGTCTACTACTAAATTTATGATGTAAACCTGGTTATTTTAGAACATATGATCTAGGTTCCTTCTGACACTTAAGAAAGAAAAGCTTATTCTGGGGCGGGCCCAGCGGCATAGCAGTTAAGGTCGTGTGCTTGGCTTTGGGGGACCATGGGTCACCCATTCAGATCCTGGGCGCAGACTTATACACTGCTCATCAAGCCATGCTGTGGCTTGATAGAGGGAGATTGGCACAGATGTTAGTTCAGTGACAATCTTCCTCAAGCAAAAAGAGGAAGACTGGCAACAGATGTTAGCTCAGGGCCAGTCTTCCTCACCAAGAAAAAAAAAATGAAAAGCTTATTCTAACCAAGGCTCAGTTTTCTTTAACACTGAACATACAATCAATCCTAAATATATTTACATTGATAACAGAAATTTATAGTGACAACAGAAATGTCCTTAATATTTTTTAAATCAAATGCAATTTCTTATACTAAAAATAATCTATATTCAACAGAAGTTTTAGAAAATACAGATGCAAAGAGAAAAACATCTATAATTTATGACCATTGTTAACACAACTACTTTTAACCTCCAGCCTTGTAGCAGCTAATATCCATTCTTATCTCGCTTTACCTAGTGAATTTCTGGCTATTCCTCCTCATGTTCTGATGACTTGAGCACTTAGTTCACTATTTCTCTTACTTCTCAAATCCTGTCCTCTTCCTGTGTGATTTCAGCAATCACCTAAATTTTCCATTTCTTTCTTGACCTGCCTTCCTCCAGCGATCATCTCCACTCTATTTCATCCACTCATTCCCACTGCCATACCCTGAATTTAAATTTTTTTTTTTTGGTGAGGAAGATCGGCCCTGAGCTAACATCTGCCAATCCTCCTCTTTTTGCTGAGGAAGACGGGCCCTGGGCTAACATCCACATCCATCTTCCTCTACTTTATATGGGACTCCGCCACAGCATGGCTCGACAAGTGGTGCGTCGGTGCGCGCTTAGGATCTGAACCGGCGAACCCTGGGCCGCCGCAACAGAGCACACGCACTTAACCGCTTGTGCCACCAGGCCAGCCCCTTAAAATTTTTTTTTTTTTAAATTTTTTTTAAAGATTTTATTTATTCATTTTTTTCCCCCCAAAGCCCCAGTAGATAGTTGTATGTCATAGGTTCACATCCTTCCAGTTGCTGTACGTGGGACTCGGCCTCGGGTTGGACGGAGAAGTGGTGCCTTGGGGCGCGCCTGGGATCCGAACCCGGGCCGCCAGCATCAGAGCGCGCGCACTTAACCGCCAAGCCACGGAGCCGGCCCAGCCCCTTAAAATTTTTAAAAAAAATTCCAGACCACTTTACTTCTAACAATAAATTCAATGCTACTTAATGCTCAGCGTTTTAGTAGCTATAAAATGGCTATTTAGCAAGAGAATACATTTCCTAGCCTCTCTTGCCGCTAAGAGCTTACGTCTAAGCTCTGGACGGTAGGCTATGAACAGACTTGTCGCATGCAACTTCTAAATCATGTCCACCAAAAGAGAGAGCTGACTGCCCTCCACTTCCTCTTTACTCTACCCTACTCTCAGCGTGTCAGTACTTTTTTCATAGTACCCCTAGGCCAAAAGAAATGTAACAGTTCCATTGATTAGGCCCAAACAATTTAATACTTATGGATGGCCCAACTGCTTACTAGCCATTTGAAAAATAATACATATAAATTTAAAGAAAAATAATATTTTGATTTCATTCTTAAATAACCACAGGTACTTACTAAAGGAACGTGTGTGCCTGTTGGACACGGCACAGCTTCTTAAGCCCTGGAATCAGACTGGATACCACCACCCTCCTTTTCCGTTCCACATTAATTCTGGTTCAGTACTAGCTTTTAATTACAACCTGAAATCCTAGCTTTGCAAAGATAGGTCACCAAAAATACAAGTAAACAAAAACTTCCCTCAAACCTTCAAGACCATCATCAGAAGTACTGCTGCAGGATCTAACGCTGCAAGTGTGAACTACCTTGTGCCAGTATTGTGTGCAGCGTTTAACAGATGGTGACTATCATATTCACTGTGTTTTGCTGGAAAATTTAAAAAATCCTATGGCACCCCTGTGAGTTTAATGGGAAGCCCTGAAGTGCTTGAACACATAGTTTAGGAACTATAGCTCTAGGGTACGGTAGTGTGACAAAAGAGAAAGAATTCGAGTCTCTGGGTGACTAACCAAAGCAGAATGACTTGTCTGCCCCAGACCACCTGCGCATTCTAGAATATTACTTAAGACACAAGGAAAACATCTATTTTGTTTGAGGTTTCTCTAAATATAAAATAACATTCATATTACAGTATATTAAGAAATATCTATGCCTAATTCCACCTAACCATTTTAAAACATTCTGATAATGAAACAATTATGTACATAAAAACTCTCTAATGATTATAATAATAAAAGTTGGTTTGCTTATTTCTGAAATACCGTAGTACTAAGTATGTCATTTTAATGGAAGACGTTAAGAATCTGAAACAATGAAAAGAATTAAACCTCTACTTTCCAGATCTGAAGTAGAGAAAAAAATATTAAAAAATACTAGAGATTAATGAATGAATACTGCAAAAAAGATATTTAGCTTCACATAGTCTGTCCTGCCTTTTTGTAGTTCTGAAGGTATCCGAAACCAGCAAGAAGATAAACAGGTCAATTTGAACATAAAATTTGTTTACCTGCATATTAGTCTCTTTAGGAATGAGAATACTGTGGCTAGGCAGGTACAAACTTTAAATAACCGAAACTGTGTGATAGCCATGGTGGGAATCAAAACCTGTGGAAAAAGTACAAAAATAAATGCATTAAACTGATTTTAGAAGCTATACTCCCATTCTGAAGTCAAGCTGAAAAGTCCTATTATAAGCTGTACAAGTCAGACATATCTTTTACTTTTCTTTAGAAACCACAAATATAACACAGTAAATTTTAAAATTAAAATATAAATCATATTGACAATTCAAGAACTAAGTTTTTGAAGAGTTTTCAATAGTTGAGAGGAAAAAAACCTTTTTGAGGGGCTTGCCCGGTGGCGTAGTGGTTAAGTTCCCGTGCTCCGCTTTGGCAGCCTGGGGTTCACAGGTTCAGATCCCGGGTGCAGACCTATGCACCACTTATCAAGCCATGCTGGGGCAGGCATCCCACATATTAAGTAGAGGAAGATGGGCAAGGATGTCAGCCCAGGGCCAATCTTCCTCAGCAAAAAGAGGAGGATTGGCAACAGATGCTAGCCCAGGGATAATCTTCCTCACCGAAAAAAAAAAAAAACCTTTTTGAAATATTCTCAGAATGGTTTCTTAAAGGAATTCTACTTAAATTATCTATATACATTTTATTTATGATTTATTTTCTACTAAAAAATCAAAAAAGTATAAAAGTATTTACTGAGTCTTCTCTACCGTTGGAAGTTTGAACCATATGAACATAATATAGTAGTATTCAAAATATTTTTAAACATTTTTAACTTGTAGACAGATACACTTTATTATACCCATTTTACAGATGAGGAAATTGAATTGAGAAGTCAAATAACTCACCCAAAGTTACACAGCTAATAAGTTGGAAGTAACCATAGAGATCATCTAGTCCACTGGTTCACATATTTGGGGATCCTTTAAACAAATAATGATAACTGGCCTAGTAAATTAATTAAATAACATTCTCTGAGGAGCAGGGTCTAGTCATAGCTAATAAGCCAACAAAGCAGATAAAAATTACTCAATAGAAAAGGCAGCAGAAAACAAGGTAATGGGGAACAAATAAAGATGGGGGAAGTCGAAAACAAATAGCAAGATAATAGACTTAAACCTAACCATATCAATAATTTCATTAAATGCAATTTGTGTAACATCCCAATTAAAAGGCAGAAATTGTTAGATTGGAAAAAAAAAGGAAGACCTCACTACATGCTGCCTACAAGAAATGTACTTTAATATAGAAACACAAATAGTTAAAAGGATGGGGGGAACACATACCATGCTAACACTAATCAAAAGGAAGTTGAAGTGACTATTTCAATGTCAGCAGATTAAAAAAAAAAGCAAGTATAAAAGTGGTCATTTCATAATGATAAAGGGGTCAGTTAATTACAAACACATAACAATCCAAAACACATATGTCCCTAATAACAGAATTATGCCAATATCATAAACAAGATACGTAACATCACTAGAGAGTCTACAGACATCAAAAAGATATTGAGAAAATATTACAACTTGAATGTCTATATTTGACAAATGAGATAAGATGGACAAATTCCTTGAAAGATACAAGTTAGCAAAGAAATAGATAACCTGAAAATCTATCTATTAAAGAAATTGAATTTGTAGGCCCAGATGGCTTTCCCTGGTGAATTCTATCAAACACTTAAGGAAGAAGTAATACCAATTCCACACAAACTGCCAGAAAACTGAAGAGGAGGGAATATTCCCCAACTCATTCTTTCTTTATTTTTCTTTTGCTGAGGAAGATTAGCCCTGAGCCAACATCTGTGACACTCTTCCTCTATTTTTGTATGTGGGTTGCCACGACCACAGCATGGCTGATGAGTGGAGTAGGTCCGCACCCAGGATCTGAACCAGGGTTGCTGAAGCGAAGCATGCAGAACTTAACCACTATGCCACGGGGCCGGCCCCTCCCAACTCATTCTTTGAGGCTAGCATTACACTGATACTAACCCAGACCAAAGACATTACCAGAAAAGAAAACTAGAGACCGGGGCCAGGCCAGCGGTGCAAGCGGTTAAGTGCATGCACTCTGCTGCAGCGGCCCTGGGTTTGCTGGTTTGGATCCTGGGTGTGCACCGATGCACCGCTTGTCAAGCCATGCTGTGGTGGTGTCCCATATAAAGTGGAGGAAGATGGGCACAGATGTTAGCCCAGGGCCAGTCTTCCTCGGCAAAAAAAGAGGAGGATTGGCAGGGTTAGCACAGGGCTGATCTTCCTCACACACACACACAAAAAAAACCAACAACAACAACTAGAGACCAATATCTTATGAACATAAACACAAAACTCATTAACAAAATATTAGTAAATCAAAGTCAACCATATATAAAAGGATAATATATCAGAACAAGTGAGGCTTAGCACAGGAAAGTAGGGTCGGTTTAACACTTGAAAATCAAATGTAATTCACCACAGTAACAAACTAAAAAAGAAAAACTCGATATTCATCTCAGTAGAGACAGAAAAAGCATTCAACAAAACCCAACATCCATTCCTGATAAAAACTCACAACCAACCAAGAATAGAAGGGAACTTTGTCAACCCAGTCAAGGACCATCTATGAAAAACGTACATTAACATGAGACTTAATGGTGAAAAACTGAACGCTTCCCGCGTAAGATTATGAACAACACAAGCATGTCTGCTTTCATTACTTCTATTCAACATTGTAGTGGAGGCTCTGGCCGGTGCAATCAAGCAAGAAAAGCAGATAAACGGCATCCAGATAGAAAAGGAAGAAGTAAAACTGTGTTTGTCTATGCAGAAAATGCAATGGAATCTACTATCAACTGTATTTTTATATGTTAGCAACAAACAATCACAAATTGAAATTTAAAAAAAATTTATAAGAGCACAAAAAATATGAAATACTTAGGGGCAAATCTTGAAAGACCTGTATACTGAGAACTATAAAATATTGCTGAGAGAAATTTCAAAGACCTGAATTAACTTAAAAAGATCTTTCAAAGCTCGAAGACTCACTATTGTTAAGATATTGTCTCCCTAAATTGAACTATAGATTCAATGTAACTGCAATCAAAATCTCAGCAGGCTTTTTTCTCTATAACTTGACCAGCTAATTCTAAAATTCATATGGAAATGCAAAGGACCTATGGTAGCCAAAACACCACCAAAAAAGAACAAAGTAGAAGGGTTAATACTACCTGTCTTCAAGACTTGTTACAAAGCTACAGTAATCAAAAGTGTGGCGTGTTGGAGTCAAGACTGACAAATAGATCAATGGAACAGAATGGAAGGTACAGAAAGAGACCCACATACATATGGACAACTGAAATTTGATGACGATGTAAAGGCAGTTAAGAGGAGAGAGGACAGTGTTTTGGACAAACAGCACTGGAAAAACTGGGTATCTATATGCAAAAAGAAACAAACAAAACTCTTCAACCCATATCTCACACCATTTACGAAAAGTACTCAAATGGATCACAGACCTAAATATAAAACCTAAAATTACAAAGCTTCTAGAAAAAAAAAATAGGACAAAAATCTTTGTGACCTGGGTTGGGCAAAGATTTTTTAGATATGATACCAAAAGCACAACTCCTAAAAGAAAAATTGATAAATTTGGGCTTCATCAAAATTAAAAACTTCTACAATTCAAAAACACTCTTAAGAGAATGGAAAGATAAGCCACAGATTGGAAGAAAATCTTTGCAAAGCATATATCTAATAAAGGGCTTTTATCTAGAATATATAAGGACCTTTCAAAACTCACTAAGAAAACAAACAACCCAATCAAAAAATGGGCAAAAGCTCTGGACAGACACTTTACCAAAGAAGATATACGTGGTAAATAAGTCTACGAAACGATGGTCAACATCATTAATCATCAGAGAAATGCAAATTAAAACCACAGTTAAAAACCATTAGTACACACATTAGAATAGCTCAAATTAAAAATAATGACCATACCAAGTACTGGTGAGGATATGGGGCAACTATAACTCTCCTACAATGGTAGTGGGAGTGCAAAATGGTACACCAATTCTGGAAAATAGTTGGCAGTTCTACAAGTTAAACAAACATGTACTGTATGACACAGCCATTATAACTCCTAAGAATTTCCCCAAGATAAATGAAAGCATATAACCACAAAAAAAACTTGTTGTACTTGAATAGTACCTTTATTTTTAATAGCTCCAAATGGGAAACAACCCAAATACACATAAACAAATTGTGGTGTATACACACAATAGAATACTACTCAGTAATAAAAAGGAACGAACTACTATTGCAAGCAATAGCATCGATATACCTCAAAATAATTATTCTGAATGAAAGAAGCCAGATAAAAAAGAATATGTACTATATGATCCCATATATTTTTAGAAAACTCTAGAAAATACAAACAAATCTATAGTGACAAAAAGTAGATCAGTGGTGCTTTGACACGGGGCAGGGAGGGATGGGAAGGATGGATTACAAAGGGGCATGAGTAAACTTCAGAGAGAATGGATGCACTTACTATTTTGATTGTGCTGATAGCTTCACAGGTATGTATATATTCATCAAAATGGATCAAACTGTACATATTAAATATGTGCAGTTTATTGTATGTCAAATCTAGCTCAAAAATCCATTAAAACAATCTATGCTAATAACACATTTTTTAACAATATTATGTCACTTAGGAAAGTTTTCAGACTCTGGTTAGAATCTTAAAAGAAGTTATTAACATTATCATCTTGCATTGACTATTTGTAACTCTTTCTGGAGAGTCAACTTCCATTAGGAAATTAGGTCAATTAGTGACAAGAAACATATTACAGAATTTCATTAGAAACAGAACTCTGATTTCACAACAACATTTCAATATACTGTAATAATAGTATATACCTTACTCTTACTATATACCAAGCATTCTTCTTAGTGCTTTACATGTAATAACTCATTTAATGCTCACAACAACCCTATGAAGGATTTCAGGCAAATATTATTTTATCCCTACTTTAGATAGGGAAACCAAGGCACAGAAGGGTTAAGTAATCTGCCCAAACACACAGAGCTGGTAAGTTACAGAACTGGGATT